TCCTCCAATCCTGATGCCACATTTTTCTTCATATAACAGAGGTTTTTGGATTATTTGCTTAGCCTACAGATTGAGTAGGTATGGTGAAAGAATACAACCCTGGTTCACACCTTCCTTAATTTTAAACCATTCAGTGTTCCCATGTTCTATTTGAACAACTGCCTCTTGGTCTATGTACATGTTCCTCATGAGCACAATTAAGTGTTCCAAAATACTCATAGTTTGCAATGTTGTCCATAACTTATCATGATCCACACAATTGAAAGCCTTTGCCTAGTCAGAAAGCACAGGTAAACACCTTCCTGGTATTCTCTGCTTTCATCTAAGATCCATCTGATGTCAACAATGGTATCTTTTTTCAAGATAATAAATGACAATTATACTCATAGGCCTCTCCAGATGTAATACACAGAAATCAAATTGACATAATCTATGGAAAGAGACGGTGGAAAAGTTCCATATCTTCAACCAAAACAAGGCCAGGGGCAGATTATGGGACAGAACATTAATTATTCATAGACAAATTCAGACTGAAGCTGAAGAAAATGAAAACAAGTCCATGTGAACCAAAATATGACCTTAAATATATCCCACCTGAATTTAGAGATCATCTGAAGAACAGATTTGATACATTAAACACTAAAGACGAAGACCAGAAGAGTTTGGGATGACATCAAGAACATCATACAGGAAGAAAGCAAAAAGTCATTAAGAAGACAAGAAAGCAAGAAAAGGTCAAAATGGATGTCAGACAAGACTTTGAAACTTGCTCTCCAGCATAGAGATGCTAAAGCAAATGGAAGAAATAAGGAGGTACAAGAAAATTTCAAAGGTCAGCTCGAAAAGACAAAGTCAAATATTACAACAAAATGTGCAAAGATCTGTAGTTAGAAAACCAAAAGGGAAGAACATGCTCAGCATTTCTCAAGCTGAAGGAACTGATGAAAAAAACTTCAAGCCTTGACTTTCTCAATATAGGAAGATAAATTCTTTGTGGAAAATGCTGCACAGCACATCTGCCCTTGTCTTCTGTGTTTGGCATTTGCTTTTGCAAAATCAAATAAAAGAGCCTCACTCTCATTAGAGTAAGTACAGATTAGATTTCTTGAGCATTTGTGGATAATCACTCATGACCTTAGAACCAAGAGAGACCAAGGCAGTATTGGTGTATTGACGTTTCTCACGGGTTTGATCCACAAGATTGGTGGTTCAAACTCACCAGCCACTCCTTGGAAACCCTCTAAGGGTCGCTATGAGTTGGAACTGACTCGAAGGCACTTAACAACATTGTACCAAAAATAATTGATCAATGTTCAACCCTTTCAAGAGATTACAAATGAACAAGAAGCAATAGTACTGAGGGAAGAAATTCAAGCTTCACTGAAGACATTGGTGAAAAACAATATTCCAGGAGTTAATGAAATACAAACTGAAATGTTTCAACAAACTGGTCCAGAACTGGAGGCCCTCATTTATCTGCACCAAGAAATTCAGAAGACAACTACATGGCCAACCTATAGGGAAAAAAATCCATCCATATTTGTGCCCATTCAAAAAAATAAAGGTGACTCACTAGAATGTGGAAATCATCATACAATATCACTAATATCAAAAGCAAGTAACATTTTGCTGAAGATCAGCAGTACATCAACAGGAGTTGTCAGAAATTCAAGCTGGATTAACAAGAAGATGTAGAATCAGGAATATCATTGCTGACATCAGATGGATATTAACTGAAAGCAGAGAATACCAGAAAGATGTTTGTTTGTGCCTTATTGATTAAGCAAAGGCATTTGACTTTGTGAATCATAAGAAATTATGAATGACATTGTAAAGAATGGGTAATCCAGAACACTTCATTATGCTTTTGAGGAACCTATACATAGAATAGGAGTCCTGATGTGGCATGGTGGGTTAATGCACCAGACTGAAAAGCTGTTTGAACTGCAAGGTCAGCAGTTCAAGCTCACCAGCTGCTCCTTGGAAACCCTATAGAGGGTCACTATGGATCAGAACTGACTCAACTGCACATCACAACAACAAACAACATACATAGAATAAGAGACAAGGGGACACTGATGGTTTAAAATCAAGAAAGGTTACCTGCCAAGGTTGTATCCTTTCACCATATTTATTGAGTCTGTAGGCTAAGCAAATAATTCAAGAGGCTGGATTATATGAATAAGAATGTAGCATCAGGATTGGAGAAAGATTCATTAACAACCTGCAATATACAGATGACACAACCTTGCTTACTGAAAGTCAAAATAACTCGAAATACTACTGACGAAGGTCAAAGATTTAGTCTTCAGTATGTAATGAGAATGAAAATTGTCAGAATTGGACCAGAGAATAACATCATGATAAATAAAAAAAAAAGACTGAAGATGGCAAAGACTTAATTTTGTTTGGATCCACTATCAACACCTATGGAAGCAGCAGTCAAGAAATCAAAAGACATATTTCATTAGGCAAATCTGCTGCACAAGACACACCATGGAAGTGTTAAAGAGTAAAGGTGTTAATTTGAGGACTAAGGTGCTCCTAATCCAAGCCATGGTATTTTCAACCGCATTCAAAAGTTAGCAATGAATAAGGAAAACCACAGAAGAATCAACAGATTTGGATTATGATGTTGGTGAAGAATATTGAAAGTACCATGGACTGCCAGAAGAACAGATGTCTTTTTAAAAAGTACAGCCAGAGGGCTCCTTAGAAGTGAGGATGTCAAGACTTTGTCTCTCATAATTTGGATATGTTTTCAAGAGGGATCAGTCCCTGGAGAAGGACAGCATGCTTGATAAAAAGAAGTGTCACCATAAAAGAAGACCCCAGTGAGGTGAACTGATACAGTAGCTGCAACAGTGGGCTCAAACACAACAATAATTGTGAGGATGATGCAGGACCAGAGAGCCTATTGCTCTATTGTGCATGGGGTCACTGTGAGTCAGAACCAACTAGATGGAACTTAACAGAAACAACACAAAGTTTTATTTCAGAAATATGGTACCAGAGTGGCATTGGTTTAGATTTCCTAAAAACCTTTCCCATCTCAAAAAAAAGTAAATATTGTTGAGTGGTTCATGTAGCCTGTAGTCTAGAGGGTGGATCAACAAAGTAAAGGCACCAGGGTAGCAGTTAGGAGATCCTAGTAAGTGGTCCAGAACCAGAGCTGAAAAACAAAATTAACAGATCATATGTAGGTTGAAATCGATATTCTCAGCTCAAATAGTTTTTAAAAAAAATAATTTTCATAACATCAGAAAATTGTAGCTGAAATGGTTTAAAATCAATTTTAACTCATTTTCCATTCATGTAATATGAGAGGAGGGAGCCAATTTTACTGGTTCACTAGAAAAGTGGTCTGAGGGTTTCCTTAGAATAGACAGAAGTTGATTTCAACTTAGACAGATACTTCAAGCTTCAAGGTTTTTGTCTGGATGGAGAAGGATTTGCTGCCCTTCAAATCCTATCAGATAGGTAGTGTTCATATATTTCAGTGCAGTTCAGGTTCAGGAGTTCCAAGAGAACTGCTTAGATTTATAAGCAACTACAAAATGTGCTGCTTTCAGACCCTTGCTTATGATTGCAGCCTCCAGATTGAGGACTGTATCATCAGTACTAGACAAAGTAAATCCTTCAAGGAGCGAAGCTGATGAATAATGAGGACTGGCTGGTGTTTGTGAATGTGAGTGTGTGTATCTCTGTGTGTTTGAGTGTGTGTGTATTCTCATTAAGGGACGATCTATGATTTGACAGCCTCGCTGCCGCTGCTCCTGCTGTTGCTTCTGCTGTGGCTGCATGGTCTGTCATTAGTTGAAAAGGGCTGTGAGGGTTTAAAGGAACTGCAGGTCTGAAGACTGAGCACTGCTAAGTGGGCTCCCTGTCAAATAAAGTGAATGAGATTTTCTGCAGGATTGGAAACTTGGAACTCTTACCACTTCATCCACCCAGAGAAGCAGGCACCACTACAGAGGACAAGGTAAGAGAAGGGATTGTTCTCTTTGGGGTTCTGCAGGGCAGACAGCTTAGAGAAATATGGGCTCAAATGATTACTATTTTAGAGTAAAAGGATCTCACCCTCTAAGAACAAAAGAGAAAAAGCTAAATGCCCACCCACATTGATCTTGGATCTCTTGCCTTTTTCCCCTTTTCTTTTCTATTATACTTTTCGCAAACAAGTAAGAGGTTTCTGTGTTTTTATTTTTCCATCAGCAGATATGGTTTAGTTTTTCCCTTTGGGGACCCTTTCTGAACGGAGCTTTTCTTGGTTCTCTTTTTTTAAGCACTTTTCTCCACTAAGAGGGAAAAGCTTTATTACTGTGAGCTGGTTAAAACAATTACTCCATTCTACACTAGAGCTGTACTAAAAGGAGTTTTCAGGAGTACATCTCAGCCTGGTAACTGAAGGAAAATGGGAGGTCAAAGGAGAGGAAGTGAGAGGTAACTGTAAGGGGCTGTGACTTGATCTGAAATGGTGACGCTGTGAATGAATATGTACTACAACTCTTCACAGGGGGATAAGACCACTGTGAAAAAGTCAGGGCACTGGACCGAAGATGTTTTGAGAGCTCAGGATTTCAGAGAAACTTCAAACTACTAAAGATGGAAAACGAGACCGTAAGTGACATGAACCAAACACAGCTTCAACCTCGAGCAGTGGTGGCCTTAGAATACCAAGTGGTCACTATCTTACTTGTGCTCATTATTTGTGGTCTGGGCATCGTGGGCAATATCATGGTGGTCCTGGTGGTCATGAGAACCAAGCATATGAGGACTCCCACAAACTGCTACCTGGTGAGTCTAGCAGTAGCTGATCTTATGGTCCTGGTGGCCGCGGGCCTTCCCAACATAACGGACAGTATCTACGGTTCCTGGGTCTATGGCTATGTTGGATGCCTCTGCATTACTTACCTCCAGTACTTGGGCATTAATGCATCCTCTTGTTCAATAACAGCCTTTACGATTGAGAGGTACATAGCAATCTGTCACCCCATCAAAGCCCAGTTTATCTGCACATTTTCCAGAGCCAAAAAGATCATCATCTTTGTATGGGCTTTCACATCCATTTACTGCATGCTCTGGTTCTTCTTGCTGGATCTCAATATCAACACCTATAAAGATGCAATTGTGGTGTCCTGTGGCTACAAAGTCTCCAGGAATTACTATTCTCCTATTTATCTAATGGACTTTGGTGTCTTTTATGTTGTGCCAATGATCCTGGCCACCGTCCTCTATGGACTCATAGCTAGAATTCTCTTCTTAAATCCCATTCCTTCAGTTCCTAAAGAAAACTCTAAGACCTGGAAGAATGACTCAATTCATCAGAACAAGAACTTGAATTCAAAGACCTCTAATAGATGTTTCAACAGCACAGTATCTTCAAGAAAGCAGGTAAGCAATTCTAAACCTCCAAGTCAACAGAGGAAATGTGGGATTGAGTACTGTGTGACGTGTGAATGGGTTCAAGTTTGCCCTATTTAGCTGATGGTGAAACCAAAATACAATCATGCAAATGTTTCACAGTGTAAGCTTCTGCTTTGCCTACTAAATTCGTCTCTAGAGCAACTAAAGATCTAAAAATAGATGGGGTATTTTGATATCACATCAGCAGGTGTCAATTAGAGGGCTATTAAGACCTAAGGAGATATAAACAGAAACTCTAAAACTCCATGTTTAAAATGTATATGCTTTTCTGGAAAATGTTATCAAAATATTTAGATCACTCCTGGCATCTATAGGGACCTTTTAAAGAATTCTACTGCAAAAAACAAAAACAAAAATGATAAGATAGTTTCAGAAAAGATGAGTCAAGATAACAATAGAACTTTTCTTGCCAATCTATAGTTACTGACAGATCAGACACATAACAGAGAGAGGTTCTTGAATTATTTTTGTGAATCTTAGTAAGGACAGACTGTATCAACCGTCTCTCTTCCCCCTTATCCCTCCCATCTCTCTAAAAACTAACCCAGCATGCAGAAGATGAAGATTCACTTGTCTCAGGAAGTTTTCTAACACTAGGCCCAACACTAAACTCAAATTGATATAAAGAATAATTGAATTATTCAAAATGTCTGATTTTCCTGCAAAGCATAACTAGAAAATTCCTTTATGCTTTCAGATTGCCTGAATGCCAGTGTAGTTACAATTGAATATGATTTTATTAGTGAATAAAGTACAACTTTATTACAATATATAAGGTTTATAAGACAATATAAGATGTTTTTATATCATGTACACATTTATCTACAGTTACACAATTGCCTTAATTTCCATATGTACTTAGCTTTCAGATCTTTTTTCTTTTTCTTCTTCTTTACGGTACATAATAAACACAGGGTAAACATTTATTCTCATAACTGAAAAAGCAAACTTAAATACAACAATACTGCTTCTTTCAAATGAGTGAATTTTGTTGTCATCTTGTTCCCTATAAGGAATGCAGCTGTTCCTTTGAGCACAAATAGAAACTGTGCTTTTAAAAACTATGCATGTAGATCATCTGTGTTATAATTTCCTGAATTCTAGCTTCATTGATGTATGAAGAACTACAATTGGACATATGAGCATATAGACACTAATAAATCACTAATAAATTTAGGTGTTTTAACTATGCAAGACATGAATAATGAATTCTAACAAAAAGAAATATAAAAAGCACTTCCACCATTACTGTGATATTTGATTTATGTAATATTTATTATTAAAAGCACCTATGTGATAGAAAAAGAAGATCTTAGGTACTATTGCCAACTCTTAGATGAATATTGCTTCAGGTCTAGCAATGCTGCTATTACAAGGTCTATTTGGCCATCAATTACCCAAAACTTTCATTAATGGAAACTCAGAGAGATCTGTTGACCATCTGCCAAGGCAAACATTAACAAATATAATAAGAGAGTGAAGAATATGTACTTTTCAATCAGAGACCAAACATGGGTTAATATCTGCAACAAGGAAGGTCAATGAGTAAATTCATTCATTAGACTACAATTTATATTCTTGTTATAAAGTCTAAAATTTTGTTTGTTCTTTCTTCCAGTGAACATCCATTAGTACCTATCAGCATTAATAATGTGCTTTAAATTGCTAGTTATGTTGCATGTTCACACTCTTATTTCAAAGCTGTTATGGACTGGCTGTCTAATAGAGACTGTTTAGTAGAAGAAAACCAAGGATTTGGCCCCAAGCATCCTAGGGTTTAAATTCCAGGATTCCAATCAACCTATGTGACCTAGGATAAGCAATCTTCTCTGAGTCTTCATTTCTTCATCAATAAAAGGAAGATAAATAGCAACATCCAGGGCTGGTGTGAAGGTCAAATAAAATGTCTTATGAAAGACACCTAAAAAGGAGTGATGATTACTAATGGAGTGTTAATTAGCCTCCTCCCCCGCCTCTCTGCCTCTCTCTCTTTCTCTCCAATGTTAATTAGCCTTCTCCCTATACATATCAGACTCCTGGTGTGGTGCTATACAATCAGCAGTGGAATTTGAGCCACAAGGTCTACAGTTCAAACCCACCAACTGCTACTCAGAAACCCAATACCAGGTCTCTATGAGTTGGAACCAACTCAACAGCACTTAACAACGACTATATATACAAATGGAGTCCTGATGTGGCACTGTGGGTGAATGTGCCAGACTGCAAAGCTATTTGAACTGCAAGGTTGGCGGTTCAAGCCCACTAGTCACTCCTTGGAAACCCTATACAGGGTCGCTATGGATCGAAACCAACTTGATGGCACTTAACAACAGCAACAACATATATACAAATATGGACTCCTGGTGTGAGCTGTAGAATCAGCACTGGACTTTGAACCACAAGCCTAGCAGTTCAAACCCACTAGGTAATACTTGGAAACCCTATATTGGGTTGCTGTAAGTCGGAACCAACTCAACAACACTTAACAACAACAACTATATATATATATAAACTGGTCTCCTGGACGTTGAACCACAAAGTCAGCTGTTCAAACCCACCAGCTACTCCTCAGAAACCCTAAACAGGGTCACTATGAGTTGAAACTGACTTGACGGCACTTAACAATAACAGCAACAACACACACACACACACATATATGTGTGTGTGTGTGTTGTTGTTGTTGTTGTTGTTGTTGTTAAATGCCGTCGAGTCAGTTCCAGCTCATAACAACGTGATATAGGGTTTCTGAGGAGCAGCTAGTGAGCTTGAACCACCAACCTCGAGGTTCAAACCGACTTTGCAGTCCAGCGTGCCACACCAGAACTCTCCTCTCTCTATAGATAGATAGATAGATAGATAGATAGATAGATAGATAGATATGTTGTTTGTTGTTAAGTGCCATCAACTCGCTTCCAACCCATAGCGATTCTGACCAGCGGCTGGTAAGCGAACCACAGACCTTGTGGTTCAAACCGGCAATGCAGTCCAGTGCATTAATCCAGAGCGCCGCACCAGGACTCTATAACCCTCTCTCTCATGCACGTTTGTGT